ATTTACATGTGTACATGCCTGTATTTAGATATCTGTAAATGCCTTTTGCCTCCTAGTTCTTTCCTCTATTTCCTTTCACTTTCTTCTTGCCCCACTACCGTGTTCAGCCTTCATTTGGGTTTCAGTAATATTGCCCTTGATCAAGCCTACCAGGCAACCTACACTCTCATTGCCACTGATTTTAGATCACTTGTTGTTCCCTCGTCTCTGGGTTTGTTAACACCCACTTCCTTTCCCCGCCTTCCCTCTCCCATGTGCCCCTGAACCGTTGGTCAGTTGTTTTCTCCTCCGGATTGTTTATCCCGCCTATCTTATCTAGATAGACATGTAGAGACAATAATAAGCACAAAAACAAGGCAGAGCAAAACAAAACAACAAAGAAAACCAGAAAGCTAGGCAGCAACAACGGCAACAACAAAAAAGATAAGAAAAGCCTATAAATAGTTCCAGATCTGTTTTTTGACCTTTAGGAGTGGTTTCCAGTTGAGTCTCATGGGGTTCCACACTCTGGCCCCAAAGTCTATTTGTGGTATTCCCCAGGGACTTCATTGCTATGTTCCCCTTGCTGCTCTGTTGCACATGTTGCTCTGTTGCACATGAAATGAACTTTTAAGAACTTTTTAAAAATTCCAAGTAGAGAAGTTCTACTTTCCCCTTTTGAATTTATCTGAAGTGTTTTTGATACCTTCCCTTCCATCTTCACTAACAGCCTATTTAAAAGTGGCTTCAAACTTTGGGTAGGGAGGTGTAAATCAAGGAGCCATGTACGTAAGATGAAGAAACAATTACAAGAGGCCGAGTAAAGAGTGTATTAGAGTTTAAATTCTGAGCACCCTGGTTTGTAAAAGGCAATGGATGGTAGAGGCAGCCCAAATCCATTTGCTGAGTCCCCACATAGAATAAGCCTCCACTGAATGCTTTCTGATCTTTCAGTCAAGGATGTAGATAATCTTGCCCTTGGGCAGGATGTCTTAGTGTATTGCCTCCACCCCTCTCCAGCCAGCCCAGGGAGGTTCAGTCTTGCTCTTGGGGGTTTGTCTAGGTGTGTCACCGTGCTGGGGATGGTACAAGGGATTGCATAATCATTTTGCCTTGACTGCCTTGGTTGAAAGGCCCTGGACCAATCTTGTAAGCCCTTCTATCTAACAACGTACGTGTCCCAATCGTGGTCCTGTCCCTGCTTCTCTAGTCCCACCTATAACTGGATGTATTGATCACCAATCATGCTTTTGTGAGAATCTTCTCACCACCCCCTCTTCCCTCACCCCCCATATTTGAGCTTCAGTTGGAACCCTCAGATGCCATTTCAACTTCATGTTGAAGGCGTCCCTCACCGGATGATGAGTCTGTGTCTTTGGGCTGCCTTCGTCTCTTTTAAGACTTAATGAATGTTCTCTTTAAGTTGTATTTGAGATGGAGTCTCTTTAGTACCTCACAACAAGAGTAAGGATTCACTGGAAGCTGAAAATGAAGAGGAGCGACGGCGGGAAGAAAAGCAAACCCAGAGGCTTTCCCAGTCATCTTAAGAAGCATTTGAACGTCCAACGTGGGGAATGAGTCTGAGGGAAAAATAAAGGACATGTCACATGACCAGTCAGCACAATGGGATGACAATACAGCTGTGGTCACATGTGGATCATTTGCAGTAGTAATTAATAAGGATTAATGGGGCTCTGGGGTGCAGGGATCAAGGTCACAAAGCTATTGCGTGAGAGGGTTGGGATCTGAATCTCCGGGCGTCGGACTCCAAGTTCTGCATTCTGCATCTTATCACCTTGCAGAGTGTTTGCTCCCGAGAAGGTATAGATTGGTGCTTGCCGAAGTGGGCAAAACCGTGCCCTGGCAGTGCTGGAAGGGTCAGGGGAGGGGCTGCAAAAGCAGAAGCTTACATTTGATCCTCGAGTATGGACTGTAACTCGAAAGTTGTTCACTGTCAAGGAGTGCTGAGTAATATTTTTTTCTTTAAAAAGGGGCAGTAAGCCACATTCGTTTGGGGACCTTGGGCATCAATGGTTCATGTGTTTCAAATTATTGAGAATAGAAAGATTATCTCAGCCAGTCCATGATCATCCCTGGACTTCGTGTGAGGCCCAGAGACCTTTTCTAGAAAAGACCCAGATAAGTCTGCAATCTCGTGTGTCTGATGTTCCTCAGTTCCTCTCTTACTGGCTTCCTTTGCATGAAGTAGATATTTCCTAGTGTCCCATCTTAATGCTCTGATTTAGAGGATTGTGGAGGGTGGTTAATTTCTTAGTGATTGCGCTAAGAATTATAATGAGCACTTTAAAAAAATCACAATATACTTCAGATTAATGGTAACTTAATTACAGCAGAATAGAGAAATTTAACCCCAATACAGCTCTTTTCCTTACCTTGGGTAAAGACCTATGAAACATGCATCACTGGAGACTTCTGGGAGATATGCAGTTTAACGAGAACGACCATCTTAGTGATCTGACAGAACATTATTTAAAGCCGAGTAAGGATACAAATGAAAACCAACAGACGGACACCTCAGCACCACTAAGTCAGTTTTACTAATTTCTATGCCTGCTTGCCCACATGCTCTCTGCAAGGTGAAAAATAACAGCTGTGTGTGTAGCGCTCAGGGGAAGGGGGACATCCTAGTAACCCATATACCTCCACGGGTGTGGAAGGCAGGAGTGTCCAAGACTTTCAATAGCCCCTTCCCCGACCCCTGATGTTGTGCTTCCGGTCAAGGAGGATGAGATTCTTCAGCTGAGACGAGATTCAGTAACTCCTCAATGTCGTCTTGCTCCTGCACACTGAGCTGCTCTCTGGCTAGGTTGAAGGCTTTCAGGGCATATTCCTCGGCCTGAAAAAGAGTTTCAATGATAAAAGGAAACTCTAACATTGGGAACTCCACCTAAGTGAGACCCCAGAAATAAGGGAGATGACCCCCCAGCTTCTCACCCAGACCCCTGAGCTCAAACCAAATAGCTTATTGATAGGAAACTTGTGAACAACTGGACAAATATGTGCTGGGTGGGGCAGGAAAGGCACCAGAAAAGTACACCTTTCAAGAGAAGCTGGCTCTTTGCCAGATTTCCACCTGGCCAGTAGGCCAACAGCAGCAGTGTAGAGGTGATTTGTACCACCAATAACATTACATTCCGGGGCAGTCCTGGCACCATGTAAGTCAGGGTGTTGGCTTGGACATAGGCTCGGTAGGCTACCTTGGGGCAGACTCTGGCTCTCATCCTCCCCTCTTTCTTTCCCTTCCCATAAATATGTATTGAGTGGCTACGATGTCCAAGACACAGTGATTACAGACTAAGACTCCTGACCTCATGGAACTCACATTCTAGTAGGACGTGGAGAGAGACAATAAACAAGATAAATTTGTAAAACAGGAACTCAACAAGAGGACCTTCCATCTCTGTCTTAGACATAACGCTCTTCGTTCTTGGAAACTTGCCTTTGAATAATTCATCATCAGGAAGTGAAGCATGGCCAGGGTTTTCAGGACAAAGACCGTTTTTCCTGGGGCTTTGTTAGATGTAACTTCCTGAAAGTTCAAGATCGAAGTCAGGATCTGAATGGCTTCTGCTTCCTGGGCTTCATCTGCATTGAAGAGGCATGGGTGAGAAACAGGCCCTAAGGTCAGGTATGTACGCAGCTGTGAGCACACCTGGTGCTAAGGCCTCTTTTTCAAAGGCCCAAAACTCTCTATCTCGATGCTCCCTGGTGCAGGGAACTTGCTACATCAGAATTCCATGGGTTCTACTTTTCTGCCTCCATTCTTTGGTTGAGAATGTGCAGCCTGGGCTTGCCTGCAGCTGCAGCAACTTAATTCCTCTCCCTGAATCCAAAGATGCTTCCCAGGACCAGCTGTCATGAAGTCAATGTCTGCTCAGGACAACCTCATGCATATCAGTTGAGAACAAGGCGCCACCGGGTTTTCAGAGGCTCATTTTTCACAAGTAGATTGCCAGTTCCTACTTCTGAGCACCTCTGAATTCAAACTGCCAGCCTTTTGGTTAATAACTAATCATTTGCACAACCTAGGGACTCGACTGTGCTGAAACAATATCCTTTCGGCTTCTCTGTGGATCTGTTTACTGTTTCCCCACACAATTTTGGCTCCTACTTTAGTTACCCATTAGGAGCCCTGGTGGTGCTGTAGAATAAGCATTAGACTGCTAAGCACATGAACAATGGTTCAAACCCATCAGCGTTCCTCAGGAGAGAGATGAGGCTGGCTGCTCACAGAAAGATTAACAAGCTCAAAAGTCCTGAATAGGGTCACTATGAGTCAGACTCAACTTGATGGGAGTGGGTATGGCTTTCAGTTACCCATTACTGAGAAATCATTACGGGCTCGAAAATCTCATTGCCACAAAGTCGATTCCAACTCATAGTGACCCTATAAGTCAAGGTAGAACTGCCCCTATGGGTTTCTCAGACTGTATTTTTTTATGAGAGAAGAAAGTCTCATCTTTCTCTCACTTTTAAGGGCCAGGGTATTTTTTTAAATTATTTTATTGGGGGCTCGTACAACTCTTTATCACAATCCATTCATCCATCCATTGTGTCAAGCACATTTGTACATTTGTTGACATCCTCATTCTCAAAACATTTGTTTCCTACTTAAGCCCTTGGTATCAGTTCCTCATTTCCCCCCCACCCTCCCTGTTCCCCTCCCTCATGAACCCTTGATAATTTATAAATTATTATTATTTTGTTATGTCTTACACTGTCCAACTTCTCCCTTCACCCACTTTTCTATTGTCTGTCCCCCAGGGAGGGGGTTATATGTAGATCCTTGTAATTGGCTCCCCCTTTCTATCCTACCTTCCCTCCACCCTCCCAGTATCACCACTCTCACCACTGGTCTTGAGGGGTTCATCTGTCCTGGATTCCCTGCGTTTTCAGTTCCTATCTGTACCAGTGTACATCCTCTGGTCTAGCCGGATTTGTAAAGTAGAATTGGGATCATGATAGTGGGGGGAAGGAAGCACTTAAGAACTAGAGGAAAATTGTATGTTTCATCATTGCTACACTGCACCTTGACTGGCCTGTCTCCTCCCCGAAACCCTTCTGTAAGGGGATGTCCAATTGCCTTCAGATGGGCTTTGAGTCCCCACTCCACACCCTCCCTCATTTACAATGATATGATTTTTTGTTCTTTGATGCCTGATACATGATCTCATCGACACCTCGTGATCACACAGACTGGTGTGCTTCTTCCATGTGGGCTTTGTTGCTTCTGAGCTAGATGGCCGCTTGTTTATCTTCAAGCCTTTAAGACCCCAGATGCTATATCTTTGGATAGCTGGGCACCATCAGCTTTCTTTACCACATTTGCTTATTCACCTGCTTTGTCTTCAGCGATTGTGTCGGGAAGGTGAGCATCATGGAATGCCAGTTTAATAAAACAAAGTGTTCTTACATTGAGGGAGTACTTGAGTGGAGGCCCAATGTTCATCTGCTACCTTAATACTAAACCTATAAATATATGCACATAGATCTATTTCCCCATCCTCATATATAAATATATTTACATATGTCCATGCTTGTATTTAGACCGCTATAAATGCCCAGGGCCAGGATATTTTAAAACATGCCTATAAGTACTAAGCTTAGAGACAGGAGTCCTGGTCGGTTTCTAACCGGGAGGCTCGTGGCTTGATGCCACCAGTTGCTCTAAGAGGACAAAAACGTACTGGTGAGCATCTGTGAAGATTACACAGCTAGGATACACCACGGGGCACTTCTATTCTGTCCTACTGGACCACTCTAAGGGAACAGGCTTGGTTTAGTTCTAATCTTAATTCCAACTCATTGTAGCCCTCTAGGGCAGAGCAGAACTGCCCCCTAGGGTTTCTGATACTGTAAATCTTTACAGGAGCGGACAGCCTCATCTTTTTACTGGGAGAAGCTGGTGGGCTTGAACTGCTGGCCTTGTGGTTAGCAGCCCAAAGCATAAGCCACTATGCTCCCAAGTAGGCAGCATAATAAACAAAGGGCATACATCATCATGTTAAGCTTAGCTATCTTTGGAAGCTAAACCCAAAACAAAAACAATCAAACTCATTGTCATTGAGTTGATACCAACTCATAGGGACCATAGAGCAGGAGAGAACTGCCCCTGGGGGTACTGCCCCCAGGCTGTGACTACTTGCAGGAGTAGAAAGTCTTGTCTTTCTTCCTCGAGTGGCTGGTGGTTTGACCGCCGTGGTTAGCAACCCGATGTGTGACCACTATGCTACCAGGGCTCCTTTTGGCTATCTGCAGAGGAAAGGGTTTTGGCTTTTGTGCTTTTCTTTGTAAATGGTCTGCTTTAATATGAACCACTTTTGTAATGAAAGTAACACCAATAGTTTTTTTGGAGGGGGGGGTTGTTTTGTTTTTTTAAATCTTGAGTCAAAATCTCTTCTCTAAGAAATCCTTTTTTCTTTGATACCACCCAACAGTCCTCTTCCTCCCGGGACTCGTCTTGTAATATAATTTGTACCCATAGAAACTCTCTTTTCTTAGTGCACATAGCTTCTGTCTCACTAACTTCACTGCATGGCTGTTGAGAGCTTATACCTTGTCTTACTGCTCGGGGACCTAAGGAGATAACTCGGGAGGAATGGAGATGCTACAGAGATCAAAGGGAGCGCTGACAGGGTCTTTTTCCTCTCCAGATCTTTCCCTCCACACATCGGAAGGCTAGGTCTTTTGACAGAGATCTGCTGATTTCCACGTCCCAATTTCCCCCGCCAGCAAAATGCAGACGATGGCCTTGTGCCAAGGACGGCTGCCCTCTCTCTGAGGGGATGAAGCCATTGCTTTGTTTCTAGGGAGAGCTGCCACTTACCCAGGCCAGTGTCATTCTCAACTTGCTTGCCCAGCAAATCTATTTGTTGCAGGCGAGACTGTAAGAGGGTTTGGTAGTGGTTATTCAAATATTTATGCCAGATATCAGCCACCTGTTGGGAGAGGAGATGGCAATCAGAAGAGCAGCCCCGCTGCTGGACCACCGGACAGCCAGCTGGTAAGAGCAGTGCTTCTGACCGACCCCTCTCACTGTGTGGGGAGTCAGAGGGAGCTTTAGGAGCCCAGAAAGGCCTGGCCAAAGTGAGTGTGAGCAGTCATGACTTCAAAAGGCATGTGCCAGGTGGATCTGGAGGCATCCAGGTGTCGCTGTTGGGTAAGGATTGGGCTGCTAAGCCCAAGGTTGGTAGTTCAAACCCACCAGCTGCTCTGCAAGGGACAGATGATACTCTCTGCTCTTGTAAAGATTTACAGCCTCGTAAATCCTACATAGGGTTGCTGTGTCGGACTCAGTGGCAGTGGTTACCAACTGCTGAGCACATGCAATGCTAACCCTTTACCCACACACCAAAATTACAACTTCACAACTGAGGTTAACATTTCTTATTGTTTCCACTTTGCAGATAAATCAATTAAAGCGCAGAGGACTTAAGAGTATCCTTAAGAACTGGTCTGTTGGCACAAACAGGATTTAAACTCAGATCTGCCGAAGTCCAAAGCCCACTGATTTTCAGTGATACCATAATGCCTCTTCCTGAAAACTGGGTCCAAGATAAGATTCAGTGATCATAGCAGGAGAGCCTGCACCACACACAAACAACTAAGTGACTTCCTGGCTGATAAGTTAGTGGTTCCTATATAAAGCAACGCTTTAACATGTTGGAGAAATGGTTTTAAATCTCATATGAAAGATGGAGGTTTTCAAGTCTGCTCCAGTTCTTTGATCCGTTGATAAGAGCTTTCATCAATGAATTTCTCTTGAAAATTTCTCCTTCCCTACACATACCCCAGTATGCTACCATTAGTTAGTTCCTAGGGGTGTGACCAAGCACGTGGCTGTCTCTTTGGAGGGGTTGGGTTTTACTGACCGTTAGTCGATTCCAACTCATAGAGACCCTGGGGTATAAGGCTTCTAAGACTGTGTATCATGATGGAAATACACAGACAGCCTCATCTGTCCCTGCAGCAGAGCTGGTGGCTTTGAACCACCGCCAACCTTCTGGTTAGCAGTCCGACACTTAGCCGAGAGTGCCACCAAGGTTCCGGTATTATTATGTTATTTTTTAATCTATTTTGGTAGTGGAGAAACAGAAGGAAAGAGAAATTAAGCATGCCAAGGATCAGCTATATGACTTTGGACAAGTCACCACATCTCTCCGTGCCTCCATTTCCTCATGAATGGTCTGGTACCAGTTTTACGAGGCCAGGTGTTGTATCAAAGCTCAGCTCCCACATTACCCATTCACCTTTGTGTACAGCGTGTCTGCCACGTCCAACTTGTTAAGGGTTTGGAAGACATTAGCCAATTGGAAGTAGCCGCCTGAAGTCCTGACGTCTTCTGTTCCAAACGCACTACTGGCAAAATATATCTAAGCAGAAGGAAGAAGGAGAGTGCTTAAGCTCCCTTTGCAAATCGCAAATCCAATAAAGGACTTGAATCTAGACTATATAAAGAACTTTTACAACTCAATAAAAAGAAGACCAGCAGCCTAGTTTTTATAAAACGGGCAAAGGATCTGAATAGGCATTTCTCCAAGAGAAGATATGCAAATGGATAATAAACCTAAGAAAAGATGCTAAGCATTGTTATCCATTAGTAAAATGTAAAATAAATCTACAGTGAGATACCACTTTACACTCACTAGGATAGCCAAAATCAATAGAGGTGGAAAAGGGCAGGGGTGGCGAGGCTGTGGAGAAGCCGGAACTGTCGCCCACTGCTGGTGCAATTACCCTGGGAAGCAGTTTGGCAGTTCCTCCAAGAGTTAAACAGCGCCACCATGTTGCTGTTGAGGAGCCTCAAAGCACCCCTGTGAACAACCGAACAGCAGTGCCTGGTTCGATACCAAACATGACAAAATTATAATAACTTATAAATTATCAAGGCTTCATGAAGGAGGAGGGAGGAGGGAGGGAGGGGGGAAAATGAGGAGCTGATGCCAGGGGCTTAAGTGGAGAGCAAATGTTTTGAGAATGATGAGGGCAACGAATGTACAAATGTGCTTGACACAATGGATTGTGATAAAGGTGTATGAGCCCTCAATAAAATGATTTTTTTTAAAAACCACTGCCATCAAGTTGATTCCAATTCATAGGGACCCTATAGGGCGGGGCAGAACTTCCCCTGTGGGTTTCCCAAACTGTAACTCTTACTGGGGTAAAAAGCCACTTCCTCTGCCCAGGGAGCCCTTGGGGATTTCAAACTGCTGACCTTGTGGGTAAGAGCCCACTGTGGAGCCAATCTGGCACCAGGGCTCCCATATCCAGCTCTATAGAATTCAGCACTTCCATACCTAGTTACTTAGCTGAGAAATGAAAACATGCGTCCAAAGACTTGTAAAAAAAAGGCTCATAGTAGCCCCAAAGTGGAAGCAACCCAAAATCCATTAACCAATGAATTGATGAACAGACTAGTATATTAAGATGATGGGATATGACTCAGCAAAAAACAGGAATGGACTATTTATATAGTTAACAACATAGATGATTCTCAAAAAAATGATATTAAGTGAAAAGGCCAGAAGCAAAAGGTCATGTATTAGATGATATTATTTATATGAAATGTTCAGAAATATAATAAACCTATAAAGACAGACGGTGGTTGTCTGGGACTAAGGGTAAGGAATGGGAAATGGTTGCAAATAAATATAAAGGACCTGCCCAGGGCAACGGCAATGCTTTGAACTGGATTGTACTAATGGTTGCAGAACTCTATAAATTTACTTAAAAGTTTTGAATTATGTATTCAAAACAGGTGAATGGTTTGTATCATTGAGTCAAAGGGATCAGGTATCAGGCATCATCAGAACAAAAAAATCTTGTCATAGTCAATGAGGGCAGAGTGGAGACCCAAAGCCCATCTGTAGGTCACTGGACATCCCCTTACAGAAGGGTCTCCGGGAGGAGACGAGCCAGTCAGGGTGCAATGTAGCAACGATGAAATATACAACTTTCCTCTAGTTCCTAAATGCTTCCTCCTCCCCCACTATCATGATCCCAATTCTACCTTACCAATCTGGCTAGCCTAGAGGATGTACACTGGTACAGATAGGAACTGGAAATGCAGGAAATCCAGGGCGAATGATCCCTTCAGGACCAGTGGTGTGAGTGGTGATGCTTGGAGGGTGGCGGGAGGATGGGTTGGAAAGGAGGAACCGATTACAAGGATCTACATGTGACTTCCTCCCTGGGGGACAAACAACAGAAAAGTGGGTGAAGGGAGATGTCGGACAGGGCAAGATATGACAAAATAACAATTTACAAATTATCAAAGGTTCATGAGGGAGAGGGGGAGCGGGGAGAGAGGGGAAAAATGAGGACCTGATGCCAGGGGCTGAGGTAGAGAGCAAATGTTTTGAGAATGATGAGGGCAATGAATGTACAAATGTGCTTCACACAATTGATGTATGTGTGGATTGTGATAAGAGTTGTATGAGCCCCTAATAAAACGATAAAAAAAAAGGATTTTTGGACTTGAAAAAAAAAGAATGATTGCACTGAATGTGAACAGGCCATATCTTCCTAGTAAAAGGTGAGGAGTGGCGTTGCTGTCACGCAGCATGCATTGGGAAGTGGCTGACTGCAGGTGCAACGAGGTTAAAATCTAACACCTGATCATTTGAAATGTTTTTGATCCGTTTTAAAGTCTTTCTAGTTTTAATATTTTCAGCTAGCTTTTTGATTGAGGTTTTTGTCTGTTTTATTTTGTTATTGTTAGTTTAAAAATTTTATTTTCTGTACATTAAATCAAGGATAGGTAAATCGATAGAGACATAACTGGATTACTGGTTCCTTGGAGTTATGGAAGAGGAGATTGTGGGGGAATGAAGAGCTACTAATGATGAGTCCAACAACCAAGAAAATGTTTTAAATCTGATTGTAGTCATGACTGTACAACTCTTCTTGATGTGATTGGACTACTGAATTGTATGATATGTGAATTATATGCCAATAAAACTATTTTCTAAAAAAGCACCTGAAAAAAAAGAAAACAAAACCCCGTTTCTGCTTTTTAAAGCTAGGCTGAGGGATTTGTACTTGACCAAATTCTTAGCTGTGTGGCCTAGCTCAAGACAGGAGATGTCTCTGCCTCGGTGGTTGGAGGGTGTAGTACACAGAAGAGAAACACAGTCAGGGTCTCAGGTGGAAAAAGTGGCACTTTCAAAGGGTTATAGGAAGATAATTTAATGAAAGGATTATGTACACAGTCACGGAAGGGTTTAGGAAGCAACAGCTAAAGACTCTGAATAGCATGAAACGATAGCCTCCCTACTCCTGCAAAGGCAAGGAAACAAAATATGGCGGCCAGGGCCCAGCAAGAGATGGAACTGCGAAAAAGGCATCATCGGCCAAGAGCTGTGACCATGGAGGACCACTGCCATTGCCCAAACTGGACTGCGGCAGAGGATGAATACCCCGACCTTTCGCTCTTCCTACCTCCACCCTCCAGACCCAGCAGAGTTCAGGTCCTGTGATTTACAGAGGCCAGCCTCCCAAGGTTCGGAGTAGGCAGAGGACAGACTGGGGGCAAGAGAATATCGAGAAGAACCAGCGCAAGGCCGTTTCTGATAAATTTTTGGAAATGGTACCCTGGCAGGAAACCAGAGAGTTGGCCATTGGAAAGCCTGAAGAGAGAACCGACCTCCATGGAGGTTCTAGACTTGAACTTAACCCAGATTTCAAGCTGGTAACATTGTCCACTACTGATATCCTAATAGAAACCTCACAAATTTTGGAAGACCCACCCAATCATAACCTCTTCATTCTATGTAGCATTTGTACACTTTTATCATTTATAAAGCATTTTTATATTCACCAGCTCACTACAATTCAATAGCCACATTCTTCAGTAGACACTGATTGTTATTTATGAAAATAAGAGCCAAAGGGATCTTGTCTGGTTGTTCATCTTTCCAATGATGCGGTAACTCAGTGACTATCTCACTATTTCTGTCTCTGCTGAAGACAGGCACTGAAAGAAGGCGCACAGCATTTGCACAGTCCATGTGCAAATAGGCAGGGCTGGCCTCAGAGCCAAGGCTTTCTCTTCACCAGCATGTTGCTCTGCTTCCCGTTACTATCCGTGGAGCACATGCAGCTCTGGGAAGTGATGTCACGGTTGCACAGCCAGGAAAGGGGAAAGGGTCCAACTCAAGAGGTTGTTAGAACTTTGTTCTTTCAAATACCCCACAGTGATCAGTTGTAAACAGAAACTTTTAGAGAAATTTTCAGTAAACAACAAAAACCACAACAAAAAGACTAAACAGAGCTGTTCTCGAAGCATCCAGATGTTCTCATTTAGCATATTTACATCATTGGCTAGATGATAACGGGCTTCCTCGTAGTTTTCCTTAGCCATATAGAGAAGTCCCAGGTTACGGTGCAATAAAGAGTGGGTGGCATGGCTGCAGTCAGTTGACTTGAGGACTGTCCACTGGGCTTGGGATAGATATTCCTCAGCCTGGATGATCCGACCCAGACCTGCCCGAAAGAAATCAAGGTTAACATTCATATGCTGACCAGAGAGCATACGATGAAACATAGATCTCCAGCTCCTCACTCATTTATTTACTGGCTCAAATATTTACTGAACACAAAGGTGTGTACACCAATGTTCACGGCAGCAGTATTCTTGATTGCCAAAAGAGAGGAACAACAGAAATCACCATCAACTGATGCACAGAGAAACCAAATGTGGTATAGCCTTACAATGAAATCTTATTCAGCCACGAATGGGAATGAAGTAGTGATACAGGCAATGACATGGATGAACCTTGAAAATATCATGCTACATGACACAAAGACCTCATATAGTAGGACTTATTCTATAATCTATCAAACAGCTAGAAGAGGTAAATCCAAAGAGACAGTAAATAGATGGCTCTGGCATGGGAGGTCTGGAGGTTGGGAGGATGGGATGGGATGGGATTGCTAATGAGGATGGTACTTCATGTTGGGCTGCTTCTGGCATGAGATATAGTGATGATTTAATAACTTAGTGAATATATGAAAAACCACTGAGTGTATTTTAAAAGGGTAAATTTATGGCATGCCAATGAATCTCAATTAAATATGTATATGTTGAATGCCTTTTGCTGCCAAGGCTTCTATTGATTGAAGGATATTCAAAGATAAATCAAAGTCAATGCCCTCTTTAAAAAAAAATAAATCATTTTATTGGGGGCTCTTACAGCTCTTATAACAATCCGTACATCAATTGTATCAAGCACATTGGTACATATGTTGCCATCATCATTTTCAAAACATTTTCTTTCTACTTGAGCCCTTGGTATCAGCTCTTTTTCCCCCTCGCTCCCCCACCCTTCCATCCTCATGACCCCTTGAAAAATTATAAATTATTATTTTCATATCTAACACTGTCTGCTCTCTCCCTTCACCCATGTTTCTGTTATACATCAATCAATCAATCCCCCCCCACCACCACCCTCATGGCATTGCAACTTCCATCACTGTTCCTGAGGAATTTATCTGTCCTGGATTCCATGTGTCAAGAGCTCTTATTTGTGCCAGTGTACATGCTCTGGTCTAGTCAGATTTGTAAGGTAGAACTGGGGCTATGATATGGGGTGCAGGGTGGAGGAAGTATTAAAGAACTAGAGGAATGTTATGTGTTTCATCGGTGCTATACTGCACCCTGGCTGGCTTGTCCCTTCTTTGTGACCCTTCTGTGAGGGGATGTCCAATTGTCTACAGATGGGCTTTGAGTCTCCATTCTGACACCACTCATTCTCATCAATATGTTTGTTTGTTTTGGGTCTTCTGATGCCTGATACCTGATCCTGTTAACACCTTATGATCACACAGGCTGGTGTGCTTCTTCCATGTGGGCTTTGTTGCTTCCTGCTAGATGACCACTTGTTTAACTTCAAATCTTTAAGACCCCAGACTCTCTGTCTTCTAATAGCTGGGCACTATCAGCTTTCTTCACTACATTTTCTTATGCACCCATTTTAACTTCAGTGATCATGTCAGGAAGGTGAGCATCACAAAATGCCAAGTTATTAGAACTAAGTGTTCTTGCATTGAGGGAGGACTTAAGTAGAGGGCCAATGTTTGTCTGTTACCTTGATATTTAACATATATGTACATAGACCGATATCCCTATCATTGTATATTAATATATTTAAATCTACACATGCCTATATTTATACCTATATAGATGTCTTTTGCCTGCTAGCTCTTTCCTCTATTTCCTTTTACTTGCCTCCTGTCCCACTATCATGGTCAACCTTCATTCGGCTCCCAGTAATTTCTCTCAGCTACACTGCACTTGATCAAACCCCACCAGACATTCTACACCCACTTCACCATCAATTTTAGCTCTCTTGTTGTTCCCTTGTCCCTGGGTTTGTTGAATGCCCTCTTCTTAAAAACAAACAATAGATTAGCTTAACTAGTAAAAATTGCCTGCCTTTTAGCATTATGCTCAAGAACTGCCTATATGGCATCAAGCTGATAACAGTGACTAGAAAGATTAGCTGGGAACCTGAGGGAGCAATGAGAGGAAGAATTCCAAAAAGGAGGTGAGAATGGTTGTACAACTCAAAGAAAGTCATTGCTGTCAAACATTGATTGAACGTGTAGAAACTGCTGAATTGCTGTTTGTTTTGCTGTGTATATTCCTAACTACAAAAACTAAATAAATGGGAAATTTGAGAAGTCCAATAACCTTTAAAAACTCAGTTTCCCCAATCCCCATCCCCCCTCTCCCAGAAGAATGCACTACAGAGGAAAGCACTGAAGCTACAGCTCATGGAGAGGGATGTGTCTAATCAGAGCACACAGGAGCAAACAAAGAGGGAAGGAGAAAGAGTGGAACACATCCTGGCTTACCAAGCCCCGAGGTCGACATTCCTGCTCAGAGCAGCCAATGCACAGAGAGGACCACAGGGCCGGCCCCACCACAAGACAAGACATCCCTCACTGACCCATATCACTATGAGGGACAATACTGGAGGCACAGTGAGGGAATTGCGCCCAATCTAACCTCACCAGACCAGGGCAAAATGCTAAGGGCGTGTAACAGAGTAGCAAGGTAAGCAAAGCAAAGAAGACCCAGGGAATACCAAAAATAGACTGTGGGGCCAGAGCGTGGCACCCGAGCACACTCGGCTGGAAAAC